GTGGTCGACATTTGTGCGGGTTTTGGCATAACTGGCGATAAACTCTTGTTCGTCGGGCTCTACGATCGACGCGAGATTAGATCCACTCATTCGCTGGCATTCCTCCTCAGCGTCGGCCCAATTGCTGGCCGTTTGGTTCATAAATAGGTAACAAAAGTCACCGTATTTTACACTATTGTCCCACAATTGTCCCGAAATATTGCATTGTTTGGACTCTGGTTGCGGCTCAACAGTAGGCACTGGCCTTACGACCACTTGAGTCTCGACAATGGCTGATAAACAGAGAATAATTAAAATTATATATTGAATAAACATAATATCAAGTTATTATTATAACTCTTACGGTCGACAATCTTTTTGATCCGCCGTCTCTTGTGGTCAACTCTGGAGCACATGAACCCATAGGCGCTGTCCAGACACCGGCTCTCCGTCCACAGCCCACTCTCGGTGTCAATCGAAACGCACTTAATGTCCAAACTTTTGTCCAATTTGTTGACCGAGTTTTTGCGGCTCTTCTCGTGTTTCGCATTGTATTTGCCTTCGAGTCGGTAAACGCTGTTGTCTTTCAGTAAATTACTTAAACGGATCCAAAAGAGTTGCGGCGATGATTGGGTCAACACATCCACCAAATAGTTGTCCGCGTTTTTGTTGTCTACGGAAAGCAAGTGAAGACCTCTTTGGCGACAAATGGCTACAGCTTTTTGCACATCAATTGTTTCGCTCGAGTTGTATATGAAATAGTGATCCGACGGTTGGCTCTCATCTGATGACCACTTTTGACCAGAATTTGGCTGAGAATTGATGGCATCTATGAGTTGTTGAGAAATATTTAATTTTTATAATTAAAAATTTGATTATTTAGCTATTGGTTTGATAGGAGTGGTGGACAACAGGTAGTAGTGGTTTGTAATACCTGTTGTTTTAGTTGCAATAATTGAATACAACAACAGAAAAGTTAAATAAATAAAATTCATGTTTAGTTTACTAAACATGATATACATGTCGACGATATTTACACGAAACCAGCCGTCGATTCACTCACATAATGAATGACTGATATATTAAATGAATATTAAAAATCACATAAAAATCATGTATTAATTATGGTATTGAAAGTGCAGTCAATTCGCGTGTCTTATCTCAGGAATGGTATAAGTATTGCATTTGTGTTACGAAATACAGCTGAAAGAGAGAGAGAGAGAGAGAGAGAGAGAGAGAGAGTCAACAAATTGGACAAAAATTCGGACATTAAATGCGTTACGATTGACACCGAGAGTGGACTCTGGACGGAGAGCCGGTGTTTGGACAGCGCCTATGGGTTCATGTGCTCCAGAGTTGACCACAAGAGAGAGAGAGAGAGAGAGAGAATATGAGAGTAATAACTCATTTTACCGTTGATTACAGGAATATGTTATCAGTTTTATATATAACTTATATATTTTATAATACTATTAATCACTTTGAATGCCATAACTATTGACACAAAATAGTCTGCAAACGAATCCACAAAATAAAACAAAAGTTAAAACAGAGTAGTATTTGTTGCAAATTATTTTATTGTAGGGATCTATCGGTGAAAATACTGACAAATACTACTATCAAAAGAGTATTGCAAACAAACAATTCATAAAATAACAAAAACATTGAAACAATAATAAATATACGACAATAAATGTGAAATAAATTTTTATTTGATGAAATGATTTGACAAAATGATAAATATTTACGCAAAACAATACGTTATAATAGCAAATCGGTAATTACCAAGGTGGTTGTGATAGTGAAAATGTCAATGATAGTGACTAATAATAAACATTCCTATTTAGTATACTTGGTAACTATCAAATAAACAAGGTTGTTGTGTACAGCTAATTAATAGTAGACTAATCTAGCTTTGTTTTAAGTCAAGCGATTAAACCGTGGGCCCCAGTCTTTAGACCCCAAAATTAATATAAACAATAATAATGTTAAACAAAATAAAGTTTATATTAATAAATAATGATTTTGTGCATTAATTTCCATATGTTTTCAACCGTTTTATACCGTTTAAAGATCACTTAATTATTGGCAAAATAATTGATTAAATTATCATTTTTATGAATAATGTTTACTGATTATTCACTTGTCGTTAATTTAATGCATAATATAATGATAATAAATAGAAGTCATTAAAGATTAACAATTCAAATTGTATTACCTCTAATAAACTTTGTTATATAATTACATTAATTAATTTATTAAAACACACTTAATGTTTTTATGATCAGTATCCGTATTGCTATACCATATAAGTAATAATATACAGATTCTGTATTCCCAGTCATACCCATGTGTTACCTTATTTTCTTAACAAAATTACATTAATTGTTTAAATTACAATTTAAGAACATGTACAACTATAGTTGTTAAGACACAGAGACTATTGTTAATGAGACTTGATGAAATAATGTTCGCAATTAATTCCACGTAAGTATGCATATTTTTGTCTGGATTTCAACCTTATCGACTCAATAATTGTATTTTTATAAAGTGTTATAAATGTAGTGAATAATTGTCTATGAATAATGAAGTGGGTATTCATTGTAACGGTATATAATGTACAGTACTGTACATGTATAATTACTTTTATGAAATACTTAATTAATATGTCGATAGTAGTTGTAGTTTGTGACTACCTATGGAAACAGATGGTTGTATTACTTTACAGTACTTCCTATTCAAAGTGTAATAATGTTCGTTAAATATATTATTTGCTAATCACTTGTAATCGCAGACATGGATAACATTAGTGTTGATTTTGGATTAAAAGACAATTAATAATAATAAATGAAAACTTATATATTGTTATTATAAGTAAATTATGACCCAAAATAGAGCACCTATTCAGAAAATACTACAAATAATATTGACATAATTTTAAACAATAATTCACCATGATAAATTAGATTAATATGGTTAGATTAATTATAAATTTTACAAACATTTTCTTTATGGTAGATTACAAATAGAATAAAATATAAATTTAAAAAAACTAAATTTAAATTTTGAAGACAACAGAGTAGTGGCCGTCGAGTGTATTGTGTTTGGAAACGAGTGAAACTCTATTTACTTTCTCTCCCCAAACGGCCGCTAGTTTTGTGTCATTAGTCTTGTGCTCATCGATAACGCAATCAAACAAATCGGGCGAGAAATCCATCGATAGTTTTACATTTGCGTCCGTGAGGTCTAAATGACCAGCTTTTGGCTCTTTTGGTGTCAGTATTGTAATAAAATGCACCCGAAATGGCTGTACATATTTGGCCAGACTATACGTCTCGGTAAGGGTTACAGTATTGGCCTTACTATCAAAGGCCAGTTTGCGGACCCAACTCTTCACCTGCGCTTCGGGAGGATAAGCACCGGCTATATTGGCCTCAAACACTCGGCCGGAGCTCTTGTAAGTGACGTTATGGGCCACAAATTGTTTGCCCGCTTTTTGCTGCACACCGTTAATGGTAGGCGTGTTATGCCATTGCGATTGCATCGCCCATATGTCGTACCGGTGCAGGGGATCGAAGGTCTGTTTGGTATAAGTGCCCACTCCTACGTCTATTAACGCGGGTAAGCCGTTCACATAGAGTACAAAATTACCAACATCGTTGTGGTTATGGCTCTCGTCTTTATAGCAAATCATTTTAATGTTAGTAGAATGTTATATTAATTTTGCACACAATTCTGTACATACCATTAGTGCCGGCCTTTGCGCCCAGGAATATACCCTTAGCTGATCCCTCCTGTGATCTCAACGTCACGACCTGTAGATCGGGGAACCAGGACTCGACCGGTTGCGGAGCTTTAGGCACCGCTGTCTTGAGACCCGGGTATGCAATCATTTCCATATAATACTGATGCAAATGACCGTCTGATCCATCGCCTAATAAATATTTCTCCTTCCCTTTCAATGCATACAAATATGCGGCGAATTGTGTCATAACCTGATTGTTGAAGAGTTCGCCGAAATGGTAGACCAGAGTCGGGTCCGGCACTTGTTTAGCTGAGGCGTCGGCAAAGTTGACAAAATAGTCGCCATTGATATGCATTTTGTAGATATAATCGCCGATACTCTTGACTATAGGTCTGGACGACCAGTCCATCTGGTGATTACTGGCCGACGACAAAAAGTACAGGTATTGTATGAAACGTCCGGCCGCCTGATACCAATAGCTCGGCCCCTCATCGCAACCGCCGTCCTCTCCGTACCAATCGAGCCAATTATCTGCGCTCTGCACCGACCTCTTGATCGCCGCAAGTCTTTGCGTGGAATTGTTTATTGATAACAAGGATGTCATCAAAATGTTTGTATTGATCCAAATGTTCCAATTGTTTACTTTTTTCTTATCAAAACCCATCCAATTGTTGAAGTCTGTGGTNAATTGTTTATTGATAACAAGGATGTCATCAAAATGTTTGTATTGATCCAAATGTTCCAATTGTTTACTTTTTTCTTATCAAAACCCATCCAATTGTTGAAGTCTGTGGTCATAAAGATCTCATCGATACGTCTCTCCAACTCGTAATCAATCCGTTTGGTTATCATTGGCGACAACTTTGTTAGTTTATCATCTATGTAAACATGCAATTAAACTATGTTAACAAACTTATGGTAAATTAAATTATTTAAATATAATAAATAGTAAATGAATTAGAAATACCCATGAGGAATTTGATCCAAGCGACAATCGCTGACGTCTCGCCAGCGCCTAAGTCTATGACAAACTGTTTGGGATCCGGGAGACCTAAGCCGGCCTTTTGCATATGGAGGTGCGCCGGCCACGTCCACGTGCACTCCTCCAACATCAACCACAAGCCATTTGCTATTTGTTTGGTGTACTTTCCCTTATCGGTGATCATCTCCGCCAACACCAGATCCATCACCCGATCCCTGCGTTTGAAGTTCTTGTGCTCGTATTTGTCTCGATTGCCATCAATGGTATACTCCAAGAACTCGGTCGCCAACAATGGTTCCCATTCTGTCTTCGAGTCGTTGTCCGCCCTTTCAATGTATACTTTCTTTATATTTTCGGGCAATTGTTGAATGTTTTTCTCAAAATCTGCCTTTAATTTGATTCGCCATTCGTTGATGTGATCCAGACTTTGAGTCTTGTCTTTGAATTCTTTGTATAAGAAGTTTCTCTCATGTCTTTCATCGCATTTTACACAACATATAAATATAGTTATTATTCCCAAAGTAATTCCCAAAATGTTTCTCATTATTAGTATATAATAAATATTAAAACTTTATGTAAAAGTTTATAAAAATTTATTATTAAATTAAATAACATTTAAAAGTTTGGTTTTATACTGTATTGGGTTTATTCCAGTCCTTAAGTATTGTGTGAATCATAAATGTGTTTTAATATCATTAAATTAATCCTGTTTCATTATGTCTAAAGTAGTGCACACTTTGAATTGTAATTTTGTGATGTAAAGTACCTACACGTAGCTAATGTAACTAACTTATATAGTTTATTGATTATAATACATGTGTACAATTTAAACAATTCCCTGTTTAAACATACCTTAAATATACGTAAATGTATTTTACTGTGAGAAAATAGATTATAAAATGTTTGTTTTAATTTGATATTTGTGATATTTATAACATAGGTATGAATGCACTAATTATATCAATCAACATATTTATGTCCATATAAACAACAATTTTATTAAAATACATTTTATTCAGAAATATAATCAAAGAATTAGAATGTAATAAATATAATTTAAAATCAATTTTAATTTAGTTTATAATTTATAAAATAACATATAAGCGTATTATTAACTTATAAGTAAGAAATTTAAATAACGATTTCAGACATGATATAAAAGTAGACACAATGTCTGCCACCCGTTATTTCAATTACTTTGAGTTCCGAGAACTCTATTCACAGGTTTAACGTTAAAATACTTGGGAATAGAAATCAGTTTTATTATAGTTTTACCAAATTATATG